GAGAGTCTGTCTCCAAACCTCCAATCTCTCGTTAACACCTGCCCTCGTCTCGTCAATTAGAATGATGTCATCAGCAAACAACATACACCATGGCACCTCCCCTTGAATATGGCGTGTCAAAGCATCCATCACCAAGGAAAATAGGAATGGGCTAAGCGCAGAGCCTTGGTGTAATCCCATAACAACCGTAAAATGCTCTGAGTCGCCTCCCACAGTCCTAACCTTAGTCTTAGCTCCGTCATACATGTCTTTGATCGCTCTTATGTAGGCTACCGACACGCCCTTCACTTCCAGGCATCTCCAGAGCACCTCCCTTGGAACCATGACATACGCTTTCTCCAAATCAATAAACACCATATGCAGATCCTTTTTCTTATCCCTGTACTGTTCCACCAACCTCCTAATAAGGTGGATAGCTTCCGTGGTGGAGCGGCCTGGCATGAACCCAAACTGGTTGTCGGATATAGACGTTGTCTTCCTCACCCTCAGTTCCACCACCCTCTCCCAGACTTTCATGGTATGGCTAAGTAACTTGATACCCCTATTATTGTTATAGAAAACATATGTTATAACAAAATATAACATTTGGTTCCGAAAAAACTTCGCTTTTATAATGAAGTGTTGTTATATAAGGATGTTATTATAGAGAGATTTGACTGGGTATATTTTATACATTCAACTGCAAAAAACAAAAAAAATAAGCGCAAAAAAAATAAACTATGTAGCTAAATAACAAATATCCTTCACTAATCCTATTCAGTAGTGAATTAGCAATATATGTCAAAAAAATTCTAAACATTAGAAAAATATTAAAATGATAATTTTTTTCTAGTGAGAAATTTATTTTTAAAAGTAAAAAAGGCAAATGATATTTTGTTAAAAGATTTCGTGTTTTTAATATAATGAATTTAGAATATTCGTTTTTCGCGCGTAACCATATCATAAGAAATCAATATGACAATTACTAATAAATAATATATATATTTGATGTGCAATTTTCGATTATCATTTCAAAATTATTTCTAGAATTTGATGTTGTATTAAAGATTATAATGATGGCTGGCATTGAAAATTTATACGTATTATAGTAAAGATTTAATTGTGCTTTTATATTTTGCACCTAAATTTAGGAAAAACACCTCAGAACCCCTACACTTCACATTTTGTGGGCGTTTGGACATAAGAATTGTAAAATTCTCAAAATGGTAAAATTTGATTTCAAGTAAAAGTAGTATTTAAAAATTAGATTTGTATTTGGATATGAATAAAATTTTGGGTTGTTTTGAATTTTTGTGAATGATCTGAGTAACAATTTTGAAAAACTATTTTTTGGAGTTTTTAAAATTTTCGAAAAATTCAAAATTCATCTTCAAGTGAAAATTAAAAATTTTATGGCTAAGCACTGATTTGAAAAAAAAATGATTTTTTTTCGAAAAAAGATAAAAAATATTTCATGGCCAAACGGACTCAATTTATTCAATGCACGCCCAAACTTATTCTCT